GGGGGAGGGGCCGCGGGCCCGGGCAGGGTGAAAGGGCAGGAGGTGCAGAGCACAGGGTTATTCTGAAGGAATTATTCTGAACTGTGTTGGCCAGATGTTGTTTGTGCAATCCAAATTGTGAATGCGCCGCGGGAGCGGGGTCACAAGGCCAGCTGAAAAATATCTGCATTACTCAGAACTGGAAGATCACGCTTATTGAGGAGAGCTCCTCAATACATAGATCTGCTTTGTATAAAGGAGACCACATCGAAGCTTGCTTGTGTTGCTTGGGTTCAGTAAGCTGCCTGCTCTACAAGTACAGGACAAACACCCAATAGCAATTTGTTACCCAGCTGTGCAGTCCTCCTGGCTTCTTGCAAGACCCCGTAGGAGGTGGTGCCACCCTGAGCTCCAGTGGTGTGTGCCTTGGACAGGAAAGCTCCTTCTGCCCTTCAGAGCTGCTGCTGTATCAAGAGCTGGATGAACTGAAACCCATAGGAAAGCTATGGAGGAAAATATGTTGGTTACTCTAGAGCTATTATTTAGGCTCTTTTCTTTGAAAATACTTATTCCACTGGTGGTTTGAGTGCTTTGTATTTCTTAGGTCTGTGACACAGTCGAAGATTTACAAGTGGGCACTCTGGTTTGCCAGGTTATGCTGTGCCATTCTCAACTGTATATCCTGTTTACAGCAATACAGACAAAAAAAGGGGAGGGGGAGCTCCATTTAGGACTTGTTCATATATATGAAGTGCCTTTTTTACTTCAGAAGCACTGAGCTTTGCTCTTAACTCAGAGTAAAAACCATGGAAAACATACTCCTGATATGCAGGTACTGGTTCCCAGGAACTTTTGTGTCTCTACAATATTCTTCCCACAATCCTACCACTTGCTACGTTATAGCACTGTTAAGGCTGACTCCAGTTTGTCTAGAGAAAGGGCAAGTAATAAATAAAAGTTTTACAGCCGGCCAGCCTATAATCCCAAACATACTAGAGAACCCACACAAAACACCTTGTACTTAATAGTGAACTATTCTTCTTCATCTATTTAGAAAATACTTTAATCGGAGATAATTTCTTTTCATCTGTTTGAG